GACTTAAGTTTTGAGTTCAGTAAAGAGTAAAGAGTAAAGTTTGAAGTCCTTTTCTTCAAAAGTATATGGGGACTAAGTATTCCCAAAGAGTTTATAAATGTTTTCACATTTAAATAAGAACGGAAACTGAGATTTCCAAAGGGCTTTCGGGCTAGTTTTCAGAAAAGAGTAATAGCTTTCTAAATGAAGCAAGCAGGGAAACTGAGATTTCCAAGATAGCCTTTGAGCTAAGTTTTTGAGCAATTATCTCAAATCAGCAGAAAAAAAGTATGTTTTTAAAACATAAGAGCTAGTATATTTTGGGAGTAGTATTGAGCACCGATATGGGGGAGAGTTCAGACAACTCACAGCCCCCATAAACCATGTAGCCATCATGGGTAGAAAAGGGTCATACTTTTTAGATGAACCTTTTTCACATAGACTAGTGGATCCATTAGTAGTTCAGGTCCTATACCTTTGGCCGGGTATAGGATGCGCTGGCAGCGTGAGGTAGATTGATGTATCATCACTATAGCTCTTATGTGATGGTTGTCGGTTAGAGAAACTCCCACAGAAGTTATTGTATTTTTATATACATTAGTTTATTGTATTTTTATATACATTTCAGAGTTATGGTGTATCCTTGCATACACACAAATTTGACAGCATGTTTTTAAACAGTTTGTTTCTTTATATTGCACTTGTTTTAAATTGCTTTATATTGAAATGAGTTCAGTCATATTTAGTTGAGTATCCATAGTTGAGTATCCAGAGTCGAATATCATAACTTTGAGTCGAATATCATATCCTTGAGTTGAGTATCTAATCTCTGAGTTGAGTATCTTATCCTTGAGTACTTCTGAGTTGAGTAAGTTTGAGTAGTTTGGAGTATTCCTTGAGTTGAGTAAGATTGAAAACAGGCAAGTATGTTTCCTTTTTATCAAGTTTCAAGCTTATGTTTATGTTTTAGAATTCCCCTTACATGCTCGTACATTCCACGTACTGAGCCATTTGGCCTGCATCTTTTCATGATGCAGACACAGGTATTCAGGATCATCAACAGGAGCTTCGTTGATACATCCGAGAGTTCGAGTTAGCTATGGTGAGCCTCCTTGCTTTTGGAGGATTTCATTTACCTTTCAGTTATATCAGTTGTTAAGATGTCGTGGGTCTTGTCCCGACTTCCATCTTTATCAGTTAGAGGCTTCATAGATAGTCAGTACAGTTGAGAAGTCTGTATCATTTATTTTATTAAATGTTTTAAAGACTAAAGTTGCCTTTTTATGGCGAGTTGTATATATTTTATTATAAAGAGTTTTCTCTGGACTTAAAGTTTATATTTAAGTTTTATGAAATTTTATTTCAGTTTTTAAGCTTTGTATGCTTGAATCAGTTTTCCGCTTGTAGTCAGCCAGGATGAGGGTTCGCTTGGGGACCAGCAATGGTCTTCAAGTGCCGGCCACGTCCAGGGTGTAGGCTCGGGTCGTGACCCCAACCAACACCCCCCCCCCCCCAAAAAAAAAATAATAATTTTAAAGCTTGTTTTTAAATTCAATTTTTTCCCCCACCCTCACCCCTCCCAAAAAAATATTAAAAATTGTTTTTAAAAGATATTTCTAATTTCAATTTTTTATTATTTTACCCCCCACCCACTACCCTCACCCCCCCCCCCATCAACCCCCTTCAAAAAGAAAAAAATTTAAGTTTGTTTTTAAAAAATATTTTCAACTTCAAATTTTTATTTTTTCATCCCGATCCTCGATCACCCACCCCTCTCTCCGGTCACCCCCACCCCCAAAAAAAAATTGAGTTTGTTTTTACAAAATATTTACAAATTCAAAATTTCATTTTTTCACCCTACCTTCGACCCCCCACCCACTCACCCCTAACCCCACCCCCCCCAAAAAAAAATTTAAGTTTGTTTTTTAAAAAATATTCTCAACTTCAAAATTTCATTTTTTCATCCTACCCTTGACCCCCCCAACCCACCACCTACCCAGCCCCCCCACCCACTCACCCCCACAAAAATTTTAAGTTTGTTTTTCAAAAATATTTTCAACTTCAAAATTTCAATTTTTCACCCCTACCCTTGACCCTCCCCCCCTTCACCCACCCCCTACCACCCCCCACCCCCCACCCCCAAAAAAAATTTAAGTTTGTTTTTAAAAACTATTTTCAATTTCAAAAATTATTTTCTACTCTAGTAAAAATAAAAGATATTTCTCAAAAATATTTTTCATTCATAAATCAAACACTAAAAATCTTTTTCGGAAAATATTTTCTACTCACCAACCAAACATGAGAAAATAAGTAAAAAATCAACTTATTTTCCAGGAAAACATTTTCCAGGAAAACATTTTCTAGGAAAACATTTTTCATGGAAAACATTTTCCTTCATACCAAACACACCCTAAATTTCATCAATTACAATCCGGTTTGTATTTTCATTTTTTGTTTACATTAATTTCATTCTTGAATATTACCTCAAAAATTCAATCCTAAATAGTTCTGGTTTACTTTATGGAAATAATTTGACTGAAACAATTTAGGAAAATTAATTTTGTAGCTTCAAAGTTACCTAAAGATACTTTTTGTTCCTGTATATGAATAGAAAAATGGAAGTTGTAATCCTAAATAGTTTTATTTACTTTATGAAAATAATTTGAACAAAGAAATTTAGGGAAATTATTTCTATGGCTTAAAATTTACCCTTTAATACTTTCTTTTCAATTCTTGTTTCACGTATTAGGCCTAAACTCAAACTTTGTTAAGAAGCTTTAAACTTAAAAAATCATATTTACTAACGTGTTCCATTCTTCATAATTGACATTATTAAATTTTGAGAAATAATAAAAGAACAATATGCTACTGTGATGTAAAAATATAAAAAGAACATCTTCAAATTTATAGAAAAAGATAGTAATAAAACACTTTGCAGTAGTAACACATAACAAAAAAAGAAAATAACATATGCACTGCGTGTCCAATATATTATATATGGTAACCCTACCACAAAAAAAAAACTAACCTATAGTCTAATTATAATACTAGAAAAGGAAATTGAGTGATGCACTATGAAATCAAAACATGATTGATTTTGCATTTTGGAAGAGTAATTCAAATTTAGAATAGAAAACCAAATTTATATAGGATTTGGAATTTACATTAACTCGTGTCTAATTAAGATTTATAGTCAAATTATTATAGGAATATGATTTCTAATCCTAATTAAATTAGGCTTTACACTTTTATAAATATGAATGGTACTAGCTAATTTCATATAGCGGAATAGAGAGCATTCAAATATCGGAATCAAACAAAATGGAAACAGAGTACTCTGTTTCTCAATTTCATCCTTTAGCTGCAAAAACAGCCTCGATAAGTTTATCATCATTCGGATCTGGAGGTCCGTTTAGTTTTGATTCACTCTCTCGGAAATGGAATTCGAAGAAGAAGAAGAAAGAGCCTTTTCCTGATGAAAAATCATCGAATAAGCACGAGACAATGGGGAACGAGTGGTTAGAAACAGGGAATTGTCCTATCGCGAAATCTTGTAGAGCTGTTAGAGGAGTTCTCCCAATTGTGGCATCAGCTTTTCAGCTACCTCCTGGAATTAAATTCAAATGCCCACCTGCAGTTGTTGCAGTCAGGGCTGCCCTGGCTAGGACTGTTTTTGTGAAGACTATGCGGCCGCAACCATTAGTTTCAAAGATGTTAGTAATTGGAGCCTTGGGAATGGCAGTTAATATTCCATTAGGGATATGGAGAGAACACACTGACAAGTTCTCATTATCATGGTTTACTGCAGTTCATGCTGCTGTTCCTTTCATAGCTATGTTGAGGAAATCAGTTGTGATGCCTAAAACAGCTATGGCATTAACCATTGCTGCTTCTGTATTGGGACAGATCATTGGCTCAAGAGCAGAGCGACTTCGACTACAACATATTTAGTCTAGTCCAAGAATAACTAACATCATGTTCGGTGTTGCATTAGTGTGGTGAAGATATGAAAGCACGCAAAGCACAATGAATCTAAGTTGCTCGTCTGCTTCATGTTCGGTGTTGCATTCGTGTCGAATGTCGATATAATATGGGCGTGAAATTAGTATTGAATTTGATCAACCAATTTTGGATACTTTAACCAAATTTGACATATGATTTTCATAATCAAAACAAAAATGATGATGAAATTGAATGAAATGGGATATAGCTTGTGTAGAGAAATTTCTATGTCAGTCTGTTATCTTTCATTTCCTTACGGGATTCTTCTCTTGATCAATACTTTCTCTTCATAATGCCTAATAAGTTTCTCACATAATTCAACGTATAACTCTATTTTAGGAATTTGAATTCCTGCAACCATATTCGTACCTGAAAATGTATACCTAAATCTCAAAATTTCTATTACGAAGGGTCCAACTTCTATTATCTATATCTATATCTATATCTGTATGGTACATATGTACTTGAGTCCGAGCAACTTAGGTTTGAGTACCCCTACATATCATGCTGAGATTAGAACCAAAACATGATTAACTTCGCTACTTCTTTAATCCATTGGAAACTTGGTTAAACAATTACTCCTAAAAATCACATCATCTGTCTACTCTTAATCCGTAAGCATGCATGAATTTGGCCACAACAAACGACTTCAATGTTTTGGAAATCAAAATCCTCCTTAGTTTAGTCTTATCTGAATTTCTTCATCTTACCTGTCTTGTTCTTATTTCTTTACACATTAATTACTGTATTTATAAACCAGATAGTATATGAATTTCAGCTAAGTTACACTTAGAAACATACAATGAAACCACAACCAATTTGAAAATTGTGGATTCATAATTTAAACTTCATGGGTTCTGAATTCTCCAACATCCGTAATTTAATCATATACATATAAGCCGCCAAGTATTTGTAAACACCAAGAGAAGCCTGTAGCTACATACAATAAATCTACAAGCATGACAAGCTCAGTTTTTTTTTTTTTTCTTTTTTTTGCTGCTGACATATTCTAAGACTAACATTTCATTTCTCCAATCAATTGGATCACATCCCTTATTGGTAAACCTAATTTAGTAGTTACATTTACATCACACTGCTTTATGAAAATTCTTCAAGACTTCCATGAGTTGAGTTTCTTCCCTATCCACAACAGAAAATTCCACTGATTCAGTGCCCTTCTACTCTGCCGTACTTTATGACCTGGAGATAAAAATTACAGCTCATTTGAGAAAAAACATTGAATATTCAGTTTAGAATGCAGTACTACGGGGTACAAGTGTAACAAACAGAAAGACCTTTTGGATGAAGAGATGTTTGGCCCTGTCGAGGAGTTTCTTTTTGCTTTCTTCATTTAAGACCTGCTCCAGTTCATCAAACAAAAACATATAAAGTGTCAATAGCGTGCATGAAAATACACTTATTGCCTGTTTAAGAGAGATTTTCCTGATACCATACTTGAAACTAAGAAATGAGAGTACAACCACGTTATCCCCCTCAGACGGGAAAAGAGAAAATTTTGCCAAAAGAGTGTATGTTCTTAGATTCTTCCTCTTGGTATACCAATTCTTTCAGGTGGTCTAACTTGCTTGAAGTTACAAACTTCGACAACATTAAGAATTTGCAAATTGAGTATATGTGGAACCTCCCTGTGGAATTTCCCGTGTACACAAAGTGAATTGTCTATCTTGGTAATACCAATTTCTTTTAGGTGGGGAGATTTGCTCTAATTTGTCACATTTTGACAACATTAAGAAGAGAAGGAAGGCTGATAATTAGCATCGACTCTCCAGGTAGAGACATCCATAGATAGTTTGTTTTGGGTTGACTTGAATATCCAAACAAAGATTTACATAAATGGAAATTTTCTCTCTGAGATACAAGTAGGACCAAATATATTGACATGTCTAAGGTGATGTGCTGGACAAATCCTAAAAAGAAATTTGGCATCTACAAGTGAAGCACAACAATTGAAGCTGGATATCCCAAATGTTATAACAAAATTAGAATCAATACTTACGTAGCAGATGAAACAGCATGGCCTTGAAAGTCTAATCCATGGTCCTGTACAGATTGCACCGAAAACAATAACATCAAAACAGATATAAATGCAACAAGATTATGAAATCTGTAAGAGACAACAGTATATATCAGACGGGTAAGGAACCTTTTGAGTTGAATTATCTTCAAGCATCTCCCATCGTTCTTTATGTAGTCTCAATTTCTCTGCTTCACCATCATCATATAAGACCTAAGAAGAGAAACACCAGAACAACATGTGCAAGTTAGGTAAGATTTCTACTTCATGATCAGTTTATATTTCCCTTCCTTGGTTAGTTATGAATAAGGCTGTAACAAAGAGGTTTCTAAATTGTAAGGTCATCCGTGTATGTAAGAATGGATTTATGTGGCAGATCATGAATTTAAATAGGAATAGACTTGTCTATTCCCTATTTTATGTGACCCCATTTGACTCAACATGGAGATATAATTAATATTAATTAACATATATGTCACCTGATATTATTTAGATAAGGAAACATATGATACTAGGATTCAAACAGATCTATAAATATGAATGAGAAGTGTTTAACCATAAACAGTAACTCAAAGAAAATTATGAATTTAGCGAGGCAATGACAATGCTTCATAATAATCTCATCACCTTGTGTTTCCTTTCCACAGGATCAAAAGAAGAAACTACTCCCTCGTAAAACCTACAAAGAGAAATATTAAGATGAGAAAATGTAGCAGATTCTTCCTCCTTATTCAAGATAAACTAATACTGGAATTGGTAGAAATGAAATTGAAATGTCATCGGACACACCACGAGTCACAATATAGGGTTTCTAAACTACAGTCCAAACTGAGTGTATCCACAGTAACTCATCAATTTTTACATTGTTATCTATTTCACTGAGTTATGTTTGCAGAGGAATTGTGAGCCAACAAGTACTTGCAAAAAGAATAATTCAAAATGAATCAAATATATAGAATAGTAATATCGCCAGCAACATTAGCCTGTTTCAAACTTTCGTACAAGAGGCAACCAACAGGAGAAATCTACCAAAGGTAAATACTATGATCGGTCAAATTGTAGTGGAGGTTGGTTGTTTGATAGGTGGCTGATCCTTTTGGATGGAGAATGAGGCAGAGAGGAGAAAAAGGAAAAGAGAAAAGGACCATGTGATTGATACATTAGTATGAATGGTTTCGAGTAAATTGAAAAATGACAGATATTTTTTCACATACTTGTGATCTGAACAGAAAGGATACTTGAACTATCCTGTAAGCTACATGCAGAACCAATTGCAATCCATAATTCTTTTGATAGACAAACAAACTGCATTGGAAACTCAGGAACCCATTAACAGCAAAAGGTTACATTCTGACTCTGCCTATGACCGCCATAATATGCAGGAATTGTCTGCAAGTTTTAACTCTGCTTAAAGCATCAAGGATCATGAACTAACATATACTTCATTTGCCCTGTTTTATGTGACACACTTCCCTTTTTAGCCTGTCGAAAAACGAAATGACACCTTTTATAATTATAATTTAGAAATAATTTAAATTTGAACTTCCCATTTTACCCTCTATGACATGATTTTATAGCCACAGAAATATCTATGGCATGTTTTAGACAACAAGTATCAAAAGACGTTCTTTCTTTCTTAAAGTTCGAGCCCAACAGAAAACTGAGACATATATTGGGATAGAGGGAGTAACTCAAGAAATATTGAATGAACCAAGGAATAATACAAGCTAAAAATAAACACATGCTAGAATTCTTGCAATACCATCAAATCCAAAGACATTTAAGTAACTGGAGGAATGAGGTTCTTGCACATAGCCTAGCAGGCAAGCCAATATTTTAGAGCATAAACTCGATAACTGAAGGCTACATCAAGTGCTGAAAAGTGTGTGTGTGTGTGCAGGATGGTTGGGTGGGTGAGTGTGATTAGTACAACAAATTTACAATCACTTGCAGTCTCACATCAATATTCCAAAGTACTTACTTTTCATCCAATGGCCACCAAACTTTTATTCTAGCGCCAACCAATTCCTTACCATAATCTTTAATGGTACAAGTCCTTTTAGAATCCTGAAAATAAAATTAGAACGACGAGTGCTTCAGACATGAAAACACTTAGAACCACTTTCTAATATGAAATCTGTTAGAAAAAATAGTATATCAGATGGTAGAGAACCTTTTGAGATGAATTATCTTCAAGCATCTTCCATCGTTCTTTATGTAGTCTCAATTTCTCTACTTCACCATCATCATACACGACCTAAAAAAGGAAACACCAAACAACACTGGTCATTTGGAACTTTCAGGAGGATTTTTTGCAAAATGTTAAAGCCAATAAAATATGGTTCAAGTTAGATAATGCTACTTCACGATCAGTATATTTAAGAATAGGGTCTACAACAAAGATGTCTCTAAACTGTAAGGTTGTACCTGTATGTAAAAAGGAATTTACGTGGCAGCTCTTGATTTTGAAGAGTTAAATAGATTTGTCTAATCCCTAGTTTATCCGACCCCATTTGACTTAACATGGAGTTAGTTTTACTTGCAGGTATATTAGCAGTGGTAGGAGAACTTTTTTTGAAACATATGACACAAGGGTTTAAACTGATCAAGGATGTGGAATTGTTGTTGTTGTGGGGTTGTACATGCATTAAACATTAAAAGATATCCCGAATGAGAAGTGTATAAAATAAAATGGAACATATAAGTAACTTAAAAAAACATTCTTAATTAGAGAAACAATGACAAGAACTCATAAAAATAAATAATATTGTCACCTCGTGTTTGTTTGTGTCAGAATCAAAAGAAGAAATGACTCCCTCGTAAAACCTATAAAGAGAAACTTTAAGATGAGACATTGTAGCTAGATTCTTCCTTCATATATTCAAGATAAAGTAACATCAAAATTGGTAGATACAATGAATTGAAGAACAAAGAGATATTCAAAGTTGTGCGAACAATAATGGCATTAAATTCATGAGTATACGATGAAACTCGGGGAAAGAGTGATGGAACATAGAGTAACAGAAGCCAGTTGAGATTTATGCCTGATAGATCTACAACAGAGGCTACATTCCTGCTAACTCTTTGATGTGCCGTGAAATTCCAGCACATTCTATGCCATTTACATAGACTTTTCATGTCCTTAATGCTTTTTTAGTATATGATTCTTATGTTATTTTACGTTTTGTAGATGTTTTGAGGTAGGACACAAAAAAAGGGCAAAAGTGAACAAACACATCAAAAAATTGAACCGTTCTGTGGACCGCCGCAAAACCAGACTGCACACCGCAGAATGGATCTGTCAGCCACAAAAAGAGACAGATTAAAAGGACTTTAAAGACCAAAATGCGATGATCTTTTGCGGTCCCCTTGCTGTTCTGCGGACCACATTCCGGTCTGCGATCAAGAATAACATGTCATGAATCCCATTTGCAGACCACATTCTAGTTCTGCGGAGCACATCAAAACCACAAGTCAGGAAGAACTTACGGGTAGCCCAAAATTGAAATGTAATTAGTGTCTCCTAGTTGGTTTTGAAGAGCTAGCTAAGTTAAACCCGCTAAATAGTCAAGTGACATTAGTGGGCAATTGAGATTCCAAGGTTAACTACTTGTTCCAAGATTATTATTATTAGTTAATTATTTGTAACATATTATTCTTGATGATAATCAATTCCATAATTTCCATATCTCTTGTTTTCCTTTCTTGCGAGGTCATTGATCATGGTGTGAAACCATAATGAGAGTAGGTGTTGAAAGAAGATGAGGTAAACCTAAACTCACGTGGAAGAAAGTTGATAATTAGTATGAACTGTTTCGAGTAAATTGAAAAATGACGGAGATATTTTTTCACATACTTGTGATCTGAGCAGAATGGATACTTGAACTATCTTGTAAGTTCATGCAGAACCAATTGTAATCCATAAATCTTTTGTTAGACAAACAAGAAAACATCAGCTTTTTAGACAATCAAGCTGCTTTGGAAACTCAGGAACCCATAAACAACAAAAGGTTGCAGTCTGACTCTGCCTATGACTGCCATAATATGCAGGAACCGTCTGCTAGTTTTAACTCTGCTTAAAGCATCAAGGATCATGGACTAACATATACTTCATTTGTCTTGTTTTTATGTGACACACTTCCCTTTTTAGCCTGTCCAAATAGAGATATAATTTGAACTTCCCATTGTACCCTCTATGACATGGCATGTTTTAGACGACTAGTATCAAAAGTCTTTCTTTCTTTCTTTCTTAAACTTCGTGCCCAATAGAAAACTGAGACATATATTTGGACAGAGGGTACTACTCAAGAAATATTGAATGAACCAAGGAATAATACAAGTTACAAATAAACACATGCTAGTATTCTTGCAATACAATCAAATTCAAAGACATAGGAGTATAAGTAACTGGGAGGAACGAGGTTCTTGCACATAAAGCCTAGCAGCAAAGCCAATATTTTAGAGTATAAACTCGATAACTGAAGGCTACATCAAGTTGCTGAAAAGTGTGTGCGCGCAGGATGGTTGGGTGGATGAGTGTGATTAATACAACAAATTTAATATGATTTGCAGTGCTCACATCAATATTCCAAAGTACTTACATTTCATCCAATGGCCACCAAACTTTTATTCTATCGCCAACCAGTTCCTTACCATAATCTTTGATGGAACAAGGTTTTTTGGAATCCTGGATAAAAAATTAGAATGACGAGGGCTTCAGACATGAAAACACTTAGAACCACTTTCTAATATGAAATCTGTCAGAAACAACACTATATCAGATGGGTAGAGAACCTTTTGAGATGAATTGTCTTCAAGCAATTCCCATTGTTCTTTATGTAGTCTCAATTTCTCTACTTCACCATCATCATATATGACCTAAAAAAGGAAACACCAATCAACACTGGTCATTTGGAACTTTCAGGAGGATTTTTTGCAAAATGTTAAAGCCAATAAAATATGGTTCAAGTTAGATAATGCTACTTCACGATCAGTATATTTAAGAATAGGGTCTACAACAAAGATGTCTCTACACTGTAAGGTTGTACCTGTATGTAAAAAGGAATTTACGTGGCAGCTCTTGATTTTGAAAAGTTAAATAGATTTGTCTATTCCCTAGTTTATCCGACCCCATTTGACTTAACATGGAGTTAGTTTTACTTACAGGTATATTAGCAGTGGTAGGAGAACTTTTTTGAAAACAAATGATACAAGGGTTTACACAGGTCAAGGATGTTGAATTGTTGTATAAGATAAGAATGAACATACAAGTAACTTAAAGAAAAAATCTAAGATAGAGAAACAATGACAAGAGTTCATAAAAATAAATAATCTCGTCACCTTGTGTTTGTTTGTCTCAGAATCAAAAGAAGAAATGACTCCCTCGTAAAACCTATAAAGAGAAACTTTAAAATGAGAAATTGTAGCTAGATTCTTCCTTCTTATTTAAGATAAAGTAAAATCAAAATTGGTAGATACAATGACATATAGAACAAAGAGATAATCAAAGTTGTGCGAACAATAATGGCATTAAACTCATTAGTATACGATGAAACTCAGGGAAAGACTGATAGAACATAGAGTAACAGAAACCAGTTCAGATTTATGCCTGATAGATCTACAACAGAGGCTATATTCCTGCTAACTCATTGATGTGCAGTGAAATTACGGCACATTCTATGTCATATACATAGACTTTTCATGTTCTTAATGCTTTTTTAGTATAAGATTCTTATGTTATTTTACATTTTGTAGATATTTTGAGGTGGGACACCAAAAGAGGGCAAAAGTGAACAAACAGGTCAAAAAATTGTACCCTTCCGTGGACCGCCTCAAAACCTGACTGCGCACCGCAGAATGGGTCTGTCAGCCACAAAAAGAGACAGAATATAAAGGACTTTTAAGACCAAAATGCGATGATCTTTTGTGGTCCCATTGCTTTTCTGCAGACCGCATTCCGGTCTGCGATCAAGAATAATAAGTCATGAAGCCATTTGCAAACCACATTTCTAGTTTTGCGGAGCAACATCAAGACCACACTTTAGGAAGAACTTAAGTGTAGCCCAAAATTGAAATGTAATTAGTATCTCCTAGTTGGTTTTGAAGAGCTAGCTAAGATAAACCCGCTAAATAGTCAAGCGACATTAGTGGGAAATTTAGATTCCAAGGCTAACTACTTGGTCCATGTTTATTATTAGTTAATTATTTGTAATGTATCGTTCTTGATGATAATCAATTCTATAATTTCCATATCTCTTGTTTTCCTTTCTAGCGTGTTCATTGATCATTTTACCCGCTCTCTAGATAGATTTTATCTTTATTATTTTTAAACAAAATCAAATATTTCAAAATCAATTGGTTAGCTTAATCGGTGACAATTCCATAACTAGCTTGGTTGCCCTAGTATATTGTTCCATAAGGGATTCGACCCCGACTCTTAGTTGGGTAAATTTTTTTGCAACGACCATGTTCACTTCTCTTTGAGAAGTGGATTTGGACGCCATCACTCTTCTAACAAGATTGTTGGAAGTTTATTATGAGAAGAGACATACCTATCGGCTATCGTGTTCATCGACCCAAATAAAGCATAAGAAGAAGTACAACGGAAGGTCCTTTGGTGGGTGATGGAGGAGAAAGAAATTCATGATAAATATGTAAAATTCAGAAAGGACATGTATGAAGGAGTTGTCACTGGTGTGAGAACTAGTAAGAGATACGGAGGAGTTGATTTTCCTCTAACCGTGGGTTTACACCGAGGATCGTCATTGAGGCACTACTTGTTTAGTCTAGTTATCAATGAACTAACCAACATAATACTATGTGAGGTCCTTCACCATTTGCTGATGAAATTGTGTTAATCGACGAAACCAGTAAGGGTGTCAACCGGAAACTTGAACAGTTGAGAAGCACTTTAGAGAGCAAGGGTTTTCGGATACGATGAGTAAAAGTAAGACTAAATATATGCACTAAACTCTAAAGTTTAGTCAACATGAGAACTAAGTTGAGGTGAGACTAGACTGGATTGACGTGCCTAAATGCAAACAATTTAGATATCTAGAATCTCCTTGTTCCAGAAGGATGAAGTGATAGATGAAGATGTTACTCAATAGAATTAAAACTGGATGATTTAAATGGAGAAATATTATGTGATAGATTGTAAGCTTTACATAATAATTATAGTCCGACAATGAATGTTGGGTCTCTAAAGTTCAACATATCCACGAGATAAGTGTCGCAGAGATGTGACACTAAGATGGATGTGCGATCATGCCTGATTATATAAGACTAAAAATGACTACATTCGCTAGAAGGTGCAAGTAGCATACATTAATGATAAAATGAGAGGAGGTCGCTTGAGATGGTTTTGTCACGTGGAGGCATGGTCTCCAAGTTTGAACTCTGGTTACAGAATCAAGGATCATGAAGTACCACATAACTCAAAAAATACCGAATGAGCCAAGGTAGAAGACAAAGTTATGGATAAAACACATGCTATTACTAGATCTATACCATCAATTCAAAAACTTATAGGATTATAAGTATGCCATCGAAGGAGATTCTTACACATAAAGCCTAGCAGGCAAGGCAATGTTTTAAAGAACAAACTCAATAACTGAACTTTACATCAAGTTTCTAAAAAGAGTGCGCGTGCAGGATCATTGGGTGTGACTAGTACAATAAATTTACAATGGTGTTGCTGTCCTCACATCAATATTTTAAAGAACTTACACTTGCTCCAATGGCCACCAAACTTTTATTTTAGCGCCGATCAGTTCTGCACCATGATCTTTGCTGGTATGAGCCCTTTCAGAATCCTGTGCAGCTCACAAGTAAAAAGGAGAATTGCAAAAGGAAAGTAATAATTTGTTCGTTGCAAAAATAAATTAGCAAAGATCTTGAATAACTATTACTGAGCTATACGGTTGTCAACCTTATCTCCAGATTCTTCAGTATTAGTTGTTTTCTTCTTCTTCTGCCTCTGTTTTGTTCCAAAAATTTGTTGCAGTGTTGGCTCCTTGTGTTCTTCGAGGTTTCCTTCTTCATTTTTTATGCTAGATTCAGATTTTCTCTCTGAGTCACAATCTGAAGCAGACTCATTCTTCCTTGAGTCGCTTCCTCGTTTTCTTTTGGCACATACTGTGCGCTTGGTTCTCTCTCCCCGAGTGAGATCTAAATGAAGAGAATCTTTTTTCTGAACTTGGGATTGCGGCACATCTCCTATTGGAATTAACACAACCAGCTCATCATCGTCATTTATCGGGATCTCTTTTCTCTTGAAATGACCATGACTTCCAGTGCTATTATTATGATTTTCGGACACCAAAGAATGATGGCCACTACTACCTGAAAGTTCATGACTTCCAGTCCCTTCCTGGTTTTCTTTTGGCACATTTGTTGCTGGTTGCACATCTTCTGGATTGATAGGTTTTATGATGTTTGTTGTACAAGTATCCTTTAGCTTCTCCCTGTGAGTATCATCCTGCAGCACTGGTTCACAAAATTTAGCCTCAGATGGACCAACTTTTACAGGATGACCTGTAAGTTTATGACTTCCAGTCCGTTCCTGGTTTTCTTTTGGCACATTTTTTGTTGGGTGCACATCTTCTGGATTGACAGGTTTCATGATGTTAGTTAAACAAGTATGCTTTAGCTTCTCCCTGTGAGTATCATCCTGCCGCGCTGGCTCACAACATGTAGCCTCAGATGGACCAACTTTTACGCGATGCACAGTATCCGGTGCATTTTCAGTTGCCATCTGATAAAAAAATAAGAGAAGAGGAAAAGAAAAAAATCTGTTAAAAACTGTTGTAGCGTCCTAGTAATAAGTAAACACTATAGAAGCACTTAGTCTCCTTGGCATCCCCCTGCTCTTTGGGCCGAATAGTGCATTAGAGCCACTACTAAAATCTTGTTAACTAAATTCAACACTAGAGTATATTCTAATGTAAGCTGAGTGGAGTTATTCTAATGTTGGCTCTAACTCCTTTGAGTGATGTATGTTTACAATAAGGATAATTGACATGAGTATGCAAAGAGACAAGTTCTTTAAAAACTGTATGTTTCTGTAAAGATATGGCACTTGGGTGTAACTAAACCCCAAAAGCTAGCTTATGAAAGGCAGGATAACCAAGTTCATATAAGCACACCACTCCATTCACGTCCAACTAGAGCTTGGACCAGGACCAGGAGCCCAAACATGGATGGAGTTGGCTCTGAAGTTTGGTATCTTTCTTTATTATGTCATATACTTTTTCAAAATCTAACTGCATACAACGATACCATTTTCGGTGCAATTTGTCAGTGACAAGCTTCCCGGTGCTAATTATAATGTACTGTCCTAGGTTTAAGACTATGAAAGATAACAACCTTATTCTAAGGCATAATGAAATAAGGATGTGGTTGGCATTTATACGGAGCAAAACTGCAGTAATGGGACAAAGGTGCTAATTTATCAACAATATGAAGTTACTGATTATCTAGTTTACCATCGCTCACAAGAAAGAAGGAAAAGCCGACAGTTTTAATCATGATGTTTATGCCCACTTATACGTGTAAATGAATGCTTGGATGTATAGACAATGAAAGTGAAGTATTAACATTAAACAAAGCATCATATCAATAAACATTTCTTTAGAAAAGCAAGCAGCCATTGTTTTAGGTGTAGACAAGATAGTTATGAATACAACATACCATTTCTTTTCCTTTTGGCATTTCATTGCATAATAATGCAACCGTTTCAGCATAGTCACCAGAATTTAAGCTCATTGACTTTAAAGCTTCTGCAAAGTAAGGTTTCACAATGGCAGCACAGTCTTTTAGGACTTCCTCCACCAAGTGTGATGCAACGGGTGAATCCATCTGGATAAAAGAAACTACTGGATTAGAAAAGTGCCAAAGAAATATTCTTAACAAAGAGGATAGGAGATTGATTATTACCTGATTATCAATTTTGAGACTATCAAGAAGAAGCCGTAGAAGCTCTGCTGAGAGTTCACCACTGCCTTCTATGAGCCGAGTCATGATTTCTTTCATCCATGTGAATATATTATGAGGATGGTAGGGCCTTCATAGAAAATATAACATAAATATTACTATAGCCAGGATCTCAGAGAAATATTATCTCTAGAATAACCTTATTCTCATACAATGTCAACAAACCAGAAGTCTACATAATATTGAAGAATGAGAAAATAATGATAATACCCATGGGAAAGAGAATTTTGACAGAATACCTGATGACCTCGAGAAATTTTTTGAATATCTCAAAGATTAGCGTTTCATTTTCGTGGTCCAATACCACTGCAGTTAACCTTACTTTGGTGAAGATTTCCAGAACTCGGACCACCTTCCGATAACTGCGGCTAGTAACATCAGCTAACTTTTTTAAAGCCATTACAGTTTGCCGGAGAATTTCCTGACAAAGAAAATGGCCAGGGTGAAAAAAGGAAAAATATTGAAGTAAAAACAGAAAGATAAGTTAGAATGGTGTAGTTCTACCTCCATTTGTCTATGATCGTTGTAAGGGTACTTTGGGGCATATATTCGAGAAATTTCAGTGATACAAGAAATCACTGAAACTTTGACATCTTCACTCGTATGCCCCAATAGCTCATTCCTAACCAGTGCTTTCATTAAAGGTTGAATTGCACTTGTGGTCGAATCAAATGGGTCCTGACTTACCATTTTCAGTAAAGACTCAACTTTCTGACAAAGAAAAGGGGAAAACAGTAAGCCATAAATTGCATGAATTTAACAGGAAAAAAAAAGATTATCACTGCCATTTTCCAGTCCAAAATCGTTATAGTAGAACAGCAATTCCCACTTCCATCTCATTTTTTGTTGTGATTTCATCTCATTCAAATAAAAAAATTGATTTTTACCTGAAGAAGTTTGAAGAGCTCATCAATGGAAGAGGGAGGATTCATGAGGCTCATCCCATAAGCTGTGAACTCGTCTTCCATCTTTTTCCAGTCAGCACAGGAGGAGCCAGAACTAGCCATTGCCAGAAGAACTCTGTTTCAAAAACAAGAACTGTAGCAAAAATTAACACTTCAACAAAAAATGCAGAGCAGCAAAATAACACTTGTACCAAAAACTGTAGCAAAAGTAACATTTAAACCAAAAGATTCACAAAGTGACAAATGGCAAGCATGCATTTGGGGGGGTTGGAATTCGTGATCTTTTGTTTCTACTACGCACGTTTTTTTTCAATTTGCTTACTTGTATGCAATGGGAACGTTTGAGTACTTTGGGTAATATCTGATGTATAATATTGGAAAAGTACCACCAAGACCACGCTGTGGCGCCTTATAACTTTTTAAAAATATTCATGTGACTTACACTTATCCTACGTGACAATTCATGTGATATACTATTGTCCTTTATAACAATTTATGTGAGATATTCTTGTTCTAACATGACAATTCACGTGAGATACTTTTGTCATGACAATTCACATAAAATATACTCGTCCTACATGACAATTCATGTGAGATACTCTTGTCCTACATGACAATTCATGTGATATATTTTTGTCCTAACATGACAATTCACGTGAAATACATTTGTCCTACATGACAATTCATGTGAGGTACTCCTGTCCTAACTACACTCTTTCCAGTGACGTACGCAGATTTTTTCGCAAGTCCTGTCACCTTTTAAATATATATATATAACAATTCACGTATACTATTATATCTTTTTTTCAAAAAGTAAAATAAAAAAATATGTTAACTTAAATTTTCATTTTGAAAATAATTTTATTAAAAATAATAGTGTTAAATATATAAAATATCAAGAGAAGAAAAAGTAAAAAGGAAAAAAAGAATATATCAAACAACTTGGAGCTCCTAAAATAAAATGTATATGAAAGGGAATTCGAACTCACATCCCTGACTAAAGAAATGAAACACTTGACCAACTCAACCACACACACTTTTGTATCAAGTGTTAACACTATATTTTATATATCTTTATTATTTCTTTTTATATATATATATAGCAAATTTTTTCGACTAAGCAGTGTCCCGTGACACACCTTGAACCTTCTGAGATCCGCCCCTGACACTTCCTACACGACAATTCATGTGAGACGCTCTTGTCCTAACATGACAATTCATGTGAGATACACTTGTCTTACATGATAATTCACGTGAGATACACTGATCCTACATGACAATTCACATGACATACACTAATCCTACATGACAGTTCACATGAAATACTCATCCTAAATGACAATTCATAAGAGATACACTCGTCCTACATGACAATTCATGTGAGATACACTCGTCCTACATGACAATTCACGTGAGATACACTCGTCCTACATGACAATTCACGTAAGATACACTCATCCTACAATAATTGATTTATATTATTTACATAGGACTTGTGTATTTACTAGTTTAACTTTATACAAATTTAAATATATTTATGTGCATTCAAAGTTAAAAAAACATAAAAATCAATTTGCAAATTAAGAGCATGCTTATATTATTTTATATCACGAAACAAAATGAATTGCAACGAAGGGTTGTACCTTAATTTTTGGCAACACACAACAAGAAATGTTATACAAAACAGGTAGGGGCCAGGTCACTTCCAACGTGGAAAAGTACCAGGTTGTTGAGAACCCGCCAACTCATCAAAATGCCACGTCACCCTGGGAACCTACTAGCTTCTCGGATCCTACGTGTCATACGGGTCAGGCCTATCGGATCATCAAATCGGGAAAGGAATATCCCGGTTAGGACGGAATTCGAACTCGTAATCGGAATACAATTGGAGCTCCACCAGGCAACGGCGGCTTGATCAGCCAACAGCAACAAAAAGCAGAAATCAAGTCTGAGGAGAGTAGTGCACAGAAAATCCCTTAGCCGATTCTCCGAGTCGGAGATGAATTTTCCGTTTGGGGAAAGGAATGGTTCCCGTGCTATGTTGTTGATGTCACTCTCCTTTTACGGCCTTCTTTTTTTCCTCAATCTCATCTCTGATTTCACATCCTCTTATATCTCCGCTGCCTCAGAAGTTGTGCAGGTAATTTGTTTGTTTCCGCTGCCTCAGAAGTTGTGCTTCTTTTGTCTGCGCTGCCTCAGAAGTTGTGCAGGTAATTTGTTTGTTTCCGCTGCTCGGAAGTTGTGCATCTTTTGTCTCCGCTGCCTCCGAAGTTGTGCAGGTCATTGGTTTGTCTCGCTGCCTCAGAAGTTGTGCATCTTTTGTCTCCGCTGCCTCAGAAGTTGTGCAGGTCATTGGTTTGTCTCGCTGCCTCAGAAGTTGTGCAGGTAACTGGAATGTAGCAGTTTCTATTCATAATGAAGATCTGTATTCGGATATGAACTCTTTCAGGTTTGGAAAAGATACCGCTTTTATTAAATATGTTCAGAAATTCCATGGAATCATGTATCTAATTTGCTCTGTAGGTAGACCTGGTTACTTATACTAATACTAATAAATAAGCTCATATTCATATTCATAAAAAATAAGCTGATTTTCGGTTTTACAAGTTGGTCTTATGCTTGCTTGGAACCAAACTTTCATGAGAACTCATTGCTAACTCGAATTATGTTTTCTATTTTAATCTAGAAAACACAATTTTGCAACGGATAGCTCCTTTGAACTTCGATCAACTTCAGTTATACATACGACCTTTAACCATTGCTGTGGCATTTAGTGCTACTGTTATCTGTGGTGATTTCTTATGCCGGTTGATTAATGTATTTGTAGGTTACATATGGGTCGGTATTAAGTTGATGCATGAGAGGAACAAAATTTCGATTGAATTCTCATATGATGTGCCCTATGATTCCGACAGTGGCAAAAGAAGAAGTTAATGGTCGAGTGACAAATATGAGTAATAGAAGATCATATTTGACGAAAGCAAAAAGAAAACAATAATTGGAATCCATAGTTGTGGATACTGAAACCAGTATGGGGTCTATGTTGTCTTTACACAATGAAAAAAGATGGAACTAATTGATTAAAGGTCCGAAAGTCTTCCATGGGAAAGATGGGGTTATCCCACTTTCCGAAAGATGTCAACTTTCGAATGACAACATGGAAACAGAGTACTTTGCCCCTAAATTTCATCCTTCAGTTCAAAAACAGCCTCAATAAGTTTTATCATTATTCGGATCAGGAGGTCCTTTTAGTTTCGATTCTCTCTCTCGGAAATGGAAATCGAAGAAGAAGAGAAACCCATTTTCTGAAAGAAGAGAAAACCATTTTCTGAAGACAAATCATCTAATAAGCACGAGGCAATGGGAAATGAGTGGTTGGAAACAGGGAACTGTCCTATCGCCAAATCATATAGAGCTGGCGTCAACTTTTCAGCTGCCTCCTGGAATGAAACTTAAATGCCCACCTGCAGTTGTTGCAGTCAGGGCTGCCCTGGCTAGGACTTTTTTTTTGTGAAGACTATGCGGCCGCAACCACTATATTCAAAGATGCTTGTTAATGGAGCCTTGGGAATGACAGTTAATATTCCACTAGGGATATGAAGAGAACACACTGAGAAGTTTTCACTATCATGGTTTACTGCAGTTCATGCTGCTGTTCCCTTCATTGCTATGTTGACGAAATCAGTTGTGATCCCCTAAACAGCTATGGCATTAACCATTGCTGCTTCTATCTTGGGACAGGTCATTGGCTCAAGAGCAGAGAGACTTTGGATGAAAGCAAAAGCCAACAACAACAAAGCATACCCAATGTAGTCCCACAAAGGGAAATTTGGGGAGGGTAGAGTGTACGTAGACCTTACTCTATAGTTCTTTGATAGACCCTCGATTCAAGAAAAAACCGAGAGTGTTAAATTGGTAGTACAGACTGATTCAGATATATGGGGTTATTGCAGGTCTCAACTTAATTCAAGTCCATGCATCCTCGGGGTCATTGTGGCAAACAGAAGCTGCTTTATCTCTCCATCTGCCAGTCTCCGTTTCTAAACTTTTTTTAGAACTGGTAATTAAGCAGTAGATCTTGAATGCTGAAAATAAGAGGTGTGTGACCCTTGCCAAAGAGAGCAAGATTTAACTGTTATTGAAAGTTGGACAAAATTGAAGATTGAAGAGAAGTTCTTCAACAATTGACGGTAGATGACTGATGAGAAGTGCATTAACAGTCGAAAGTTCCTCACAAACAAAAAATTGAAGAAGTTGGAGAGAAGTACTCGAACATAGACCAAACACAATAAAATGAAAATTGAAGAGAAGCACTCCATCACAAACAAAAGAGAAGTGCTCTCCAATATGAAAAAACAAAAGAGGCAAGAATATACAACTTTGAATAACAAAAAAATATCGAAAGAAGAACATTTATTGTACGTAAGACTTTATATATGATTTGCATGAATCAAACTATATCAGAGCAAGCAAATAAGTGATTTTGTGGACAGACTTTGAAAAAGAGAACCAAAACCTTTTTTAAGTCTGTTGAGGTTGAGGCTTATGGTTATTATTTTGTAGCATTCAGCAGTAGTTTGCCATCTATCTGAGGCTTTTACCAAGTAAAGAAAAAGTTTATCACATCAAGTGTTTATATCAGACTATAATTGTTTTATCATAATTAAGTGACAAAGTTAAAATAATAATTAATTAACTAGGAATAACATGTCATATGGTGAAGATATGAAAGCACGCAACTGCAAAATGAATCTAAGTTGTTACACTTTCATTTTCGATGTTGCATTTGTGTTGACACAATATGAGTGTGGAATTTGTATTGAATTCAATAAGTTAGTCATAAGCTAATTAAGGAGGCAACATCAACAGTTGTTTCCGATGTTGGCAAAGTCAACAGAGACACCTCTATTGCTTGTCCTCATCATTACCATCGATGTGAATCACCATCCTTACTAAAACTGAACCAATATTCTCTGCGTCACATTCATGGATTGAAACATCTCCCTTCAAAAATCTGTGAGTCTCTTTCTGAATCAATGCAACTTTAAGTTTACTTTCATCATTTGGAGTCACTGAAGCTGCATTCAACTGAGAAAATGAGTGTTGGTGTTTGATTGTTGGGCGGATTCTATTTGCCCCATCCTGTCTACTTTCTTCGGATCAGTGAATATTTACTCGAACCAATAAGAGCAGTTTAGTGGAGCACTAATTGGTTATATTAGATCAACAGAAATTCCAAGAAAAAAATTACTTTTCTGCTCTTGAATCAAAGGGTTTCAATTCTTGTTTCATGTATTAGGCCTTTGAGTTGTAACTTTTATCAGTTTTTTTTGAAGTAATAATTCTAAGGTCATAATCTGTTGGAGTAAATATTGATTCAAGCTAGAGTTAGCCTGAAGATTAATACATAGTGTAATCCTTTTAACTTGCTTCAAGTTAGAGTTAACTTAAAGGGGATTTGTTTATTATCGTTGTACAACAAGGTTTAAAGCCAAATCTTTAGGAATTTTTTTTGTAATCAGGTTTGGCTCAGTGTTTTAATAGAGGGGTTGAGTTTTAATTCCATAGGAATCTAAGTGAATTGCGATTTTCATACCTTTGAGCGAATGTAGTTTTCGAGGTGAAAAAAAACATAATAAGAAAATAGAAGAAATAAAGCTCAATTGCTTTATTGGTTATTTATTTATTATTAATAATTGTGAGAACCAGGAAGTCAGCCAGTTATTACTAAAAAAATATTTAATGCTAAAATTGGTAATTGTGGTTAGTGATTGAGGGCGGATCATGAACAATGGAGGCCTAAACTCAAACTTTCTTAAGAAGCTTTAAACTTAAAAAATTATATCCATTCTTCATATTTGACATTTTTGAAAAATAATAAAAGAACAATATGCTACTATGATGTAAAAATATAAAAAGTACAACTTCAAATTTATAGAAAAAGATAGTAATAAAATACATCGCAGTAGTGACACATAACAAAAAAGAAAATAACATGTGCAATGCTTGTTCAAGTACTAGTCCATTCCAAAGAACTGTCCAACCACATACGATAGACACAAGTACAGAAAATGTACCAAGAAGAAGAGTAAATCCCGAAACAATAACAGAACATGTAAGACCAATGAATAGGAGAATGCCTATAGAAGAACCTATTAGGTTACAAGAAGGGGGAAGTAAAGGAAAAATATTAAATATAGCGGCACATGATCCGCAAATGTGGAATGCGGTGATAGACTTATGGAAAGGGATAGTAATGGCAGACTATATAAAGACATACCAAGATACAGACGCAGAAACAATGTATAAATACATGGAAACATTTTTAGGAGAATCCGCAAAAGCTTTATGGGAAGCATATAAATCCAACTTCCCACAAGAATTCCAAGCATTGATAAATATGGGAACGAACCCATACAATTTTACAAATAAGATACATAGTCTAATTACAGGAGAAGACCCAAATAGTGGTTTAGTAGTACTACAAAGAAATGTTTTAATAAAACTAGAACAGTTAAGTATTACAAGTTGGTTCCATACAGGGGCAGATCTAGGATTTGGAGGTCGTGGGTGCCACAACGTTCAAGTAAGATAAAGGATCGGTTGCTTTAATTTTGGGTTACAATTCGGGTTACTGATTTTTTTTATTTTTATAAACAAATCGATCAAATATGCATGTTAGTAATATTTTCTTTTAGATATTCTGAGATTAGAGATAAAACAATTCAATTTTTTTTCTTTTTGAAATTAGATGTCTCATTCGCTGAGACTTTGAGAAAAAAAATAGGTTTTTTACATTAAAATTTGATCTTGTATAAACCATCTAATAGTATTAACATAATATATTCATATTACATTGACTTTATGTGTTGTTGGAGATATATAGTAGGGAAAGAATAAAAATTGTAGTTTCAGCCTAGTCATCTTACTTAGCAAGAACGTCGGTGAAGATTGAAAGAACTTTTAAATTTTTTTTTTATAAAAGCTCTAATAATAATATTCATCATTTTTAAAACATATTTTAAAATACTACTATTTAAATATATTCTTAATAATATTTATTTGACGTTCATAATTCAGTACTCATTAATTGATAAACTAACCTTTACTAAAGTCCTATTACCCCCCCCCCCCCCCGAACTTATTTTATATATAATTTTCTACCCCTTTTCGGCCTACGTAGCACTATTTTGTGGGTCCAGCGTGTGTTGACAAATTTTTCAAAGATAGTGCCACGTAGGCCGAAAAGGGGTAGAAAATTATATATAAAATAAGTTTGGGGGGGTAATAGGACCTTAGTGAAGGTTAGGTGTGTCTCGGGGATTTTGGGCATAAGCTGGGGTATATATATATATATATATATATATATATGGTAACCCTAGCGCAAAAAAAAAAAAAAAAAAACTAACTCAGTCTAATATAATGGAGTACTAGAAAAGGAAATTAAGTGATGCACTATGAAATCAAAACATGATTGATTTGCATTTTGGAAGAATAATTCAAATTTAGAATATGAAACCAAATTTTACATAGGATTTGGAATTTACTTAACTCGTGTCTAATTAAGATTTGTAATCAAATTAATATAGGAATATGATTTCTAATCCTAGTTAAATTAGGCTTTACACTTTTATAAATAGGAATCGTGCGAGCTATTTTCATATAACGAGTAGAGAGCATTCAAATCATCGGAATCCATAAAACTTTTCGAATCAAACAAAATGGAAACAGAGTACTGTGTTTCTCAATTTCATCCTTCAATTGCAAAAACAGTCTCGATAAGTTTATCATCATTCGGATCAGGAGGTCCATTTAGTTTTGATTCATTCTCTCGGAAATGGAATTCGAAGAAGAAGAAAGAACCTTTTCCTGAGGAAAAATCATCGAATAAGCACGAGGTAATGGGGAATGAGTGGTTAGAAACAGGGAATTGTCCTATCGCGAAATCATATAGAGCTGTTAGCGGAGTTCTCCCAATTGTGGCATCAACTTTTCAGTTACCTCCTGGAATGAAACTCAAATGCCCACCTGCAGTTGTTGCAGTCAGGACTGCCCTGGCTAAGACTGTTTTTGTGAAGACTATGCGGCCGCAACCATTATTTTCGAAGATGTTAGTTATTGGTGCATTGGGAATGGCAGTTAATATTCCATTAGGGATATGGAGAGAACACACTGACAAGTTCTCATTATCATGGTTTACTGCAGTTCATGCTGCTGTTCCTTTCATAGCTATGTTGAGGAAATCAGTTGTGATGCCTAAAACAGCTATGGCATTAACTATTGCAGCTGCTGTATTGGGACAGGTCATTGGCTCAAGGCAGAGAGACTTCGGCAACAACATATTCAGTGTAGTCCAACAATCGAAAGAGTAACTGACATCAAGTATCAATAATTGAGTTCTAATCTAAATTTTGTATGTATGTAATAAATTTTTTTAATTATAAATATAAATTTTTGGACGTTGGACCGAACTCGTACTTGACCTTCTAGTTCAACCAATGTGTACATCACAGTAGTGACACATTACAAAAAGAAATAACATGTGCAGTGCTTGTTCATTATTTTATACTTCTATATGTATCTATGGAAGCACAAAAATATCTAAGCAAGAAATAGTCTGATTATATTCCATAGAAAATTAGGAATAACATGGCATGTGGTGAAGATATGAAAGCACGCAACTGCACAATGAATCTAAGTTGCTCGTATGGTTCATGTTCGGTGTTGCATTCGTGTCGATATAATATGAGGGTGAAATTAGTATTGAATTTGATCAACCAATTTTAGGTACTTTGACCGAAATGGACAAATGATTTTCATAATCAAAACATAAATGATGATGAAATTGAATAAAATGGAATAACTTGTATAGAGAAATTTATATGTCAATCTATTACCTTTCATCTCCTTATGGGATTCTTCTCTTGATCAATATTTTCTCCTTGGATACCTTGTCTCATAATTTGACGTATAACTCTTTTTTAGGTATTTGAATTCATGCAACCATATTCCAATCTGAATTTGTATACCTAAATCTCAAAATTTCAATTATGAAGGGTCCGACTTCTATATCTATATTTGTATGGTACATCTACACTTGAGTTCTAGCAACTTGGCTATGAATATCCCTACACATCATGTTGAGATTAGATCCAAAACATGATTGAATTTGCTACTTCCTTAATCCATCGGAAACTTGGTTAAACAATAATTAAAATCACATCACTTGTCTACTCTTATTCCGTAAGCATGCATGAATTTGGCCACAAATAATTTTAACCTTATCCACCAAATACAAACGACTTTCAATGTTTTGGAAATCTAAATCCTCCTTAGTTTAGTCTAATCTGAATTTCTTCATCTTAATTACATGTCTTGTTCTTATATATCTACACATTAATTTATTTCTAAACCAGATAGTATATGAATTTCAGATAAGTTAACACTTAGACATACAATAAAATGACAACCAATTTGAAAATCGCAAATTCATAATTTGAATTTTATTGGTTCTGAATTCTCCAACATCAGTAATTTAATCAAATACATATAAGCTGACGAGTATTAGTAAACACCAAGAGCAGCCTGTAGCTACATACAATAAATCAACAAGCATGACAAGCTCAGTTTTTTTAAACATATGATACTAGGGTTGTCATGTTAGGACAATAATATCTCACATGAATTGTCGTGTAGAAAGAGTGTATCTCACGTGAATTATCATGTTAGGACAAGAGTATCTCACATGAATTGTCGTGTAGGACGAGTGTATCTCACATGAATTGTCATGGTAGGACAAGAGTATCTCACATGAATTGTCATGTAGGACGAGTGCATTTCACGTGAATTGCCATGTTAGGACAAGAGTATTTCACGTGAATTGTTTAGGTCAGGAGTTTGGTTTCAAACCCCGGTTCGAACAGGAGGAGTACGCCATGCTAATGTGCCTTGGATGATCCACATCTCAGGGTCAGGCGCCGAGGCTAGGTTAGCCGAAAGATGGTTATCGGTTCAAGAACGTAAGGTGTCCCTGCTTTTTCAGGGTAAGAAGGGGTAGAGAAAATGCCTCGAGCCAATGTTTGTGATCAATCAAATATTGCAAAGTCCCGGTATTTATTACCGATCAGAATTGGACCATAACGAAATTTCGGTTTTCCTGTACGTTCATCACAAAATATTTCTAGATCCCAATACACCCAATGCCAGATAGCTGCCAAAAAGCATAAGCCAGAAAACACAATATGAGCTCGGATCGAATTGGTATATCAATACCGATTCGATCCGAGCTCTCTTATTGAGAATGCTCAGCTTATTACTTTTTTCTTTGTTGGTAGAAACCCACTGAGTGTCCAGTTCATTAAGGAGCGTTTTTTGGAGTGACAATAGGGTTTTTTTTTTATAGACATTATAAAGTAGTACAAATTCTGGGAAGAACCAAAATTCCAGAGTTTTCTGGCTTATGCTTTTTGGTAGCTATATGGCATTGGGTGTATTGGGATCTAGAAATATTTTGTGATGAACGTACAGGAAAACCGAAATTCCGTTATGGTCCAATTCTGATCGGTAATAAATACCGGGACTTTGCAATATTTGATTGATCACAAACATTGGCTCGAGGCATTTTCTCTACCCCTTCTTACCCTGAAAAAGCAGGGACACCTTACGTTCTTGAACCGATAACCATCTTTCGGCTAACCTAGCATCGGCGCCCGACCCTGAGATGTGGATCATCCAAGGCACATTAGCATGGCGTACTCCTCCTGTTCGAACCGGGGTTTGAAACCAAACTCCTGACCTAAACAATTCACGTGAAATACTCTTGTCCTAACATGACAATTCACGTGAAATGCACTCGTCCTACATGACAATTCATTTGAAAAACTCTTGTCCTACCATGACAATTCACGTGAGATACACTCGTCCTACACGACAATTCATGTGAGATACTCTTGTCCTAACATGACAATTCACGTGAGATACACTCTTTCTACACGACAATTCACGTGAGATAATATTGTCCTAACATGACAATTCCCTATCTACAAGTGAAGCACAACAATTGAAGCTGGATATCCCAAATGTTATAACAAAATTAGAATCAATACTTACGTAGCAGATGAAACAGCATGGCCTTGAAAGTCAAATCCATGGTCCTGTACAGATTGCACCAAAAACAATAACATCAAAAAAAATATAAATGCAACAAGAATATGAAATCTGTATGAGACAACAGTATATATCAGACGGGTAAAGAACCTTTTCAGTTGAATTATCTTTAAGCATCTCCCATCGTTCTTTATGCAGTCTCAATTTCTCTGCTTCACCATCATCATATATGACCTAAGAAGAGAAACACCAGAACAACTTCGGTCATTTAGAATTTTCAGGAGGAACTTTGGCAAAACATTAAAGCCAGTAAAACATGTGCAAATTAGGTAAGATTTCTACTTCACGATCAGTTTATATTTCCCTCCCTTGGTTAGTTATGAATAAGGCAGTAACAAAGAGGTTTCTAAATTGTAAGGTCATCCCTGTATGCAAGAAGGGATTTATGTGGCAGATCATGAATTTGAATAGTAATAGACTTGGTTATTCCCTATTTTATGTGACCCCATTTGACTCAACATGGAGATATAATTAATATTAATTAACATATATGTCACCTGAAATTATTTAGATAAGGAAACATATGATACTAGGGTTCAAACAGATCTATAAATATGAATGAGAAGTGTTTAAACATAAACAGTAACTCAAAGAAAATTATGAATTTAGCGAGACAATGACAAGGCTTCATAATAATCTCATCACCTTGTGTTTCCTTTCCACAGGGTCAAAAGAAGAAACTACTCCCTCGTAAAGCTTACAAAGAGAAACATTAAGATGAGAAAATGTAGCAGATTCTTCCTCCTTATTCAAGATAAACTAATACTGGAATTGGTAGAAATGAAATTGAAATGTCATCTGACACACCACGAGTCACAATATAGGGTTCCTAAACTACAGCCCAAACTGAGTGTATCCACAGTAACTCATCAATTTTTACATTGTTATCCATTTCACTGTGTTATGTTTGCAGAGGAATTGTGAGCCAACAAGTACTTGCAAAAAGAACAATTCAAAATGAATCAAATATATAGAATAGTAATATCGCCCGCAACATTAGCCTGTTTCAAACATTCATACAAGAGGCAACCAACAGGAGAAATCTACCAAAGGTAAATACTATGATCAGTCAAATTGTAGTGGAGGTTGGTTGTTTGATAGGTGGCTGATCCTTTTGGATGGAGAATGAGGCAGAGAGGAGAAAAGGGAAAAGAGAAAAGGACCATGTGATTGATACATTAGTATGAATGGTTTCGAGTAAATTGAAAAATGACAAAGATATTTTTTCACATACTTTTGCTCTGAACAGAAAGGACACTTGAACTATCCTGTAAGCTACATGCAGAACCAATTGTAATCCATAATTCTTTTGTTAGCCTAGCCAAAAAGATGTAGCACAAGAAAAAAACAGCTTTTTAGACAAACAAAGTGCATTGGAAACACAGGATCCCATTAACAACGAAAGGTTACAGTCTGACTCTGCCTATGACCGCCATAATATGCAGGAATTGTCTGCAAGTTTTAACTCTGCTTAAAGCATCAAGGATCATGAACTAACATATACTTCATTTGTCCTGTTTTATGTGACACACTTCCCTTTTTGGCCTGTCGAAAAACGAAATGACACCTTTTATAATTAGAATTTTTTTATGACAAGGGAAACCCGCAACCGCTACCCTTTGGGTGCGCACAGAGTAAAACCCAGCTCCTATGCAATAGCTCGCAAACCAGTAAGGGTGTCAACCGTAAACTTGAACAGTTGAGAAGCACTTTAGAGAGCAAGGCTTTTCGGATACGATGAGTAAAAGGAAGACTAAATATATGCACTAAATACCAAAGTTTAGTCAACATGAAAACTAAATTGAGGTGAGACTAGACTGGATTGACGTGCCTAAATGCAAACAATGTAGATATCTAGACTCTCGTTGTTCCAGAAGGATGAAGTGATAGATGAAAATGTTACTCAATAGAATTAAAACTGGAAGATTTAATTGGAGAAATATTATGTGATAGATTGTAAGCTTTACATAATAATTATAAGTCCGACAATGAATGTTGGATTTCTAAAGTTCAACATATCCACAAGATAAGTGTCGCATAAGATGGATGTGCGATCATGCCTGATTATATCAGACTAAAAATGACCACATTCGCTAGAAGGTGCAAGTAGCATACTTAATTATAAAATGAGAGAAGGTCGCTTGATATGGTTTTGTCACGTGGAGGCATGGTCTCCAAGTTTGAACTCTGCTTACAGAATCAAGGATCATGAAGTACCACATAACTCAAGAAATACCGAATGAGCCAAGGTAGAAGACAAAGTTATGGATAAAACCCATGCTATTACTAGATCTATACCATCAATTCAAAAACTTATAGGATTATAAGTATGCCATCGAAGGAGATTCTTACACATAAAGCCTAGCAGGTAAGGCAATGTTTTAAAGAACAAACTCAATAACTGAACTTTACATCAAGTTTCTAAAAAGAGTGTACGTGCAAGATCGTTGGGTGTGACTAGTACAATAAATTTACAATGGTGTTGCAGTCCTCACATCAATATTTTAAAGAACTTATGCTTGCTCCAATGGCCACCAAACTTTTATTTTAGAGCCAATCAGTTCTGCACCATGATCTTTACCGGTACAAGCCCTTTTAGAATCTTGTGCAGCTCACAAGTAAAAAGGAGAATTGCAAAAGGAAAGTAATAATTTGTGCATTGGATAAATAAATTAGCAAAGATCTTGAAATAACTATTACTGAGTTGTACAGTTGTCAACCTTATCTCCAGATTCTTCAGTATTAGTTGTTTTCTTCTTCTTCCTCTGTTTCATTCCAAAATTTTGTTGCAGTGTTGGCTCCTTGTGTTCTTCGAGGTTTCCTTTTTCATTTTTTATGCTAGATTCAGATTTTCTCTCTTCGTCACAATCTGAAGCAAACTCATTCTTCTTTGAGTCGCTTCCTTGTTTTCTTTTGGCACATACTGTGCGCTTGGTTCTCTCTCCCCAAGTGAGACCTAAATGAAGAGAATCTTTTTTCTGAACTTGGGATTGCGGCACATCTCCTATTGGAATTAACACAACCAGCTCATCATCGTCATTTATCGGGATCTCTTTTCTCTTGAAATGACCATGACTTTCAGAGCTATTATTATGATTTTCGGACACCAAAGAATGATGGCCACTACTACCTGTAAGTTCATGACTTCCAGTCCCTTCCTGGTTTTCTTTTGGCATATTTGTTGCTGGTTGCACATCTTCTGGATTGACAGGTTTTATGATGTTTGTTGTACAAGTATCCTTTTGCTTATCACTGTGAGTGTCATCCTGCAGCACTGGTTCACAAAATTTAGCTTCAGATGGACCAACTTTTACAGGATGACCTGTAAGTTTATGACTTACAGTCCCTTCCTGGTTTTCTTTTGGCACATTTTTTGCTGGGTGCACATCTTCTGGATTGACAGGTTTCATGATGTTAGTTAAACAAGTATGCTTTAGCTTTTCCCTGTCAGTGTCATCCTGCCGCGCTGGCTCACAACATGTAGCCTCAAATGGACCAACTTTTACGCGATGCACAGTATCAGGTGCATTTTCAGTTGCCATCTGATAAAAAAATAAGAGAAGAGGAAAAGAAAAAAATCTGTTAGTAACTGTTGCAGCGTCCTAGTAATAATTAAACACAATAGAAGCACTTAGTCTCCTTGGCATCCCCCTGCTCTTTAGGCCGAATAGTGCATTAGAGCCAATACTAAAATCTTGTTAACTAAATTCAACACTAGAGTATATTCTAATGTAAGCTGAGTGGAGTCACTCTAATGTTGGCTCTAACTCCTTTGAGTGATGTATGTTTACAATAAGGATAATTGACATGAGTATGCAAAGAGAAAAGTTCTTTAAAAACTTTAACAACAATTAGATTTTAACAGAAACATACAGTTTTTAAAGAACTTTTCTCTTTGCATACTCATGTCAATTATCCTTATTGTAACCATACATCACTCAAAGGAGTTAGAGCCAACATTAGAGTGACTCCACTCAGCTTACATTAGAATATACTCTAGTGTTGAATTTAGTTAACAAGATTTTAGTATTGGCTCTAATGCACTATTCGGCCTAAAGAGCAGGGGGATGCCAAGGAGACTAAGTGCTTCTATTGTGTTTAATTATTACTAGGACGCTGCAACAGTTACTAACAGATTTTTTTCTTTTCCTCTTCTCTTATTATTTTATCAGATGGCAACTGAAAATGCACCTGATACTGTGCATCGCGTAAAAGTTGGTCCATTTGAGGCTACATGTTGTGAGCCAGCGCGGCAGGATGACACTGACAGGGAAAAGCTAAAGCATACTTGTTTAACTAACATCATGAAACCTGTCAATCCAGAAGATGTGCACCCAGCAAAAAATGTGCCAAAAGAAAACCAGGAAGGGACTGTAAGTCATAAACTTACAGGTCATCCTGTAAAAGTTGGTCCATCTGAAGCTAAATTATGTGAACCAGTGCTGCAGGATGACACTCACAGTGAGAAGCAAAAGGATACTTGTACAACAAACATCATAAAACCTGTCAATCCAGAAGATGTGCAACCAGCAACAAATATGCCAAAAGAAAACCAGGAAGGGACTGGAAGTCATGAGCTTACAGGTAGTAGTGGCCATCATTCTTTGGTGTCCGAAAATCATAATAACAGCACTGGAAGTCATGGTCATTTGTGTCAGCCCAAGAGAAAAGAGATTCCGATAAATGACGATGATGAGCTGGTTGTTAAGGCAATATTTGTCTTTCAATTAGATAGATTTTGAAGCCTTAGTTTAATTTATGTTCTTTGATCGAAAATTCATAGGACCGAAGTTAGTTGCAATCAGCATGACGACTCTCTAGTTCTAAATGGATATCTATTGTTGTTAAAAGTTGAAGGAAATGGAATTGATTAAACATAGGGTGGAAGTGAGAATTGTTGTTTTACTGTAACGATGTTGGACTAAAAAATGGAAGCGATAATCTATTCCCCCCCCCCCCCCGGCTAAATTCATGCAATTTATGGTTTGCTATTTATAAAACTACAACTGGATTTCCCAATTTAATGTGTATATTAGTTTCTCGAAGTTTTTTGCTCGTATATCGGTAATTTAGGCAGTAATTGCAATCTAACTCCTCTATTTTCTCCTTTTCTTTTTGCCAGGAAGTTGGAGTCCTTACTGAAAATGGTATGTCACACCCATTTGATTCAACCACAAGTGCACTTCAACCTGTAATGAAAGCACTGGTTAGGAATGAGCTGTTGAGGCATATCAATGAAGATGTCAAAGTTTCAGTGGTTTCTTATATCACTGAGATTTCTCGAATATATGCCCCAAAGTACCCTTATGATGATCATAAACAAATAGAGATAGAACTATACCATTCTAATTTATCCTTTTGTTTTTACTTCAATGTTTTTTCTTTTTATAAACCTGGCCAATTTCTTTGTCAGGAAATTCTCCGACAAACTGTAATGACATTAAAAAAGTTAGCTGATGTTACTAGCCGCAGTTACCGTAAGGGGGTCCGAGTTGTGAATTTTTTTGCTAAAGTAAGGGTATGTGCGGTGCTATTGGACCTTGAAAATGAAACTTTAGTTTGAATATCTCAAAAACTAAAGTTTCATTTTCAATATCCAATAACACCACACAAACCCTTACTTTGGCAAAAATTTAAAGAATTCGGACCACATTACGGTAACTACGGGCAGTAACATTAGATAACTTTTTCAATGCCATTACAGTTTGCTAGACAATTTCCTGAGATTTGTGAACACATGCATGAGAAACGAAAATGCAAATGGTTGTATAAGATTAAGACAAAGAAATTGGCCAGGTTTTAAAAAAGAAAACTTATTGAAGTAAACAGAAGGGTAAATTAGAATGGTATAGTTCTACCTCCATTTGTTTATGATCATCATAAGGGTACTTTGGGGCAAATATTCTAGAAACTTGGTGATACAAAAAACAACTGGAACTTTGACATCTTTATTGGTATACCTCAAAAGCTCATTCCTAACCAGTGCCTTCATTACAAGTTGAAGTGCACTTCTCGTCAAATCAAAAGGGTCCTGACCTACCATTTTCAGCAAGGACTCAACTTTCTAACAAAAAGAAAAGGAGAAAATAGAGGTGTAAGATTCCAATTACTACCTAAATTACCAACATACGAGCAAACAACTTCGAGAAACTAATATGCACATTAAATTGGGATATCAAGTTGTAGCTTTAGAAACAGTAAGCCATAAATTGCATGAATTGAACGGGGGAAAAGAAAAGATTATCGCTTCTGTTTTCAAGTCCAAAATCATTACAGTAGAACAATTCCCACTTCCACCTCATCTTTTATGTGATTCCATCTCATTCAATATTTAACAGCACTAATGTCTACATATTGTGCGTTGTATTCTTTTGGCTTCTTTCACTGCTTTGCGATAGCACCGCATAGTCCTATTAGCCCCAATTGCATCGTGCATAAACCTTGCACTGGTTCTTGTGTATCTTTCTCCTTCCATTCCCGTAATATGGCACCAAGGTTCTACAATTTAGGGCATTTTGCATAGTCATGCGTCCCATCGCATATGTAGCAACCGTTCCCTTTGTAGTATGTGCCTTCTTCTGAGCATCATTTTGACGTCCAAACTTCTTACCATCAGACTTATAGGTGTCATGATTCTTGAGATGTGGTTGTTGCTCCTTCTTTTTGTCACGATCTCCCCTACCTTGGTCACGACTACCTCTCATCTCATCTCATCTGCCTCTATCATGTTTGTCATGCCTTAAGTTTGTCAAAGCTCCAGCCTGCATGATGGCTTCATCAATAGTACTTACTTGTCGGCGCTCCAACTTCGTCTTGGCCTAATTTTGCAGTCCATCCATGAGGTGGAACAACAAATCTTTTCCTGTGAGGTTGAGAATCTAAAGCGTGAGGGTGGTGAACTCATTCACACATGCTCGTATGTTGCCCGTATACTTCAACTCCCTAAACTTGCACTTCGCCATCTACCTTATAGATGACGTTGTTGGGAAAGAAGGTCTTCTTAAACTCGACTTAGAATTGCTACCATGTGTTAATGGTGCAAATCACATTCCCACATCTCTAAGAGGTACAACACGGCAGTGTTGATCTTGTTCTTGTCGCTCTCACTTTGTTACACTTGAAGTAATTTCCCGAATGCCAAAGGAAACTCTCCACCTCTTGTCATCACAAGCACCTTTGAACATCGGTGGCTTGGGAGCCTCAACCTTAGCCTCCCTATCTCTATTGGACGCCGCACATACTCCAGCTTCAATTCCTCCTTAGACCGCTTTCATCTCGGCCTTTATGGTTTCAATTGTTCTTAACGCATCCATGAGCCGACATTCCAAGAAAGTGATGGTTTCCTACATCTCATATTCCGCATGCTTATGCTCCTCCAACTCTTTGAGTTTTAAAGAACAAACTCAATAACTGAGTGTTACATCAAGTTTCTAAAAAGAGTGCGCGTGCAGGTTGGTTGGGTGTGACTAGTACAATAAATTTACAATGGTGTCACATCAATATTTTTAAGAACTTACGCTTGCTCCAATGGCCGCCAAACTTTTATTTTAGCGCCGATCAGTTTCTGCACCATGATCTTTGCTGATACGAACCCTTTTAGAATCTTGAATGGAAAAATTAGAGCCATGAATGCTTCAAATTTGAAAGCATTCAGAACCACTTTTATTCTTAAAAAATCCTTTTAATCTCCTTCTCATGACTCATCCCCTCAACCTACAGGCTGAAGGTGGAAGAGGCTAATCACTAGGCTAGTATTCTCTTGTATGGAGAACCACTTTTAAAACAAAGCAGGATTACCATCAGTCCTATGTAGGGGTGGCAGGGGGACCGGGTCAGCCCGCCCCGACCCGCGACCGGTCCGAGAACCGGCCCGCCGGACCCGGTCCCGTTGGAATCTCGCGGGATGGGGCCTTCGTGATTAGGGGACCAGTCCGGTCCGGTTCACCCGTTGGTCCCGGCCCGGATGAACCGGCCGGTTCGCGGGATCCCCTAACAAATTTTTATTTTTATTTTAAAAAAAAAATTCTATCCGTTGGGCAACGGCTAGTGGGCCTCCCCAACGGATATTTTGACAGTTTTTTCCCCCAACCAACACCCCCTACCACCCCTACTTTTAATAATTTACTTTAAACCCTCAAGTTATTATAAATACACTTTAACCCACTTTTAATATTATAAATACCCCTCTATCCCTTATTATTTCTTACAAAATCATATATTCTCTCATCTATTTTTTATATTCTTTCAAGTCTCAACTCTTAATCTTAAGTCTCAAATCTCAATATTTTATTTCATTTAAGTCTCATATTATATCATAATACATATATTTCAATTCTAAGTTTTCATATTATATATCATAATATATATATATATCTAAGTTTTCATATTATATTTGCTATCAAATATTGGAGTTCCAAATTACAAGTTACAAGTTACAACAAACTACAAGCTTCAAGAATCGGTTATAACGTCTACTATTAACGCAGACGTTTGGTACATTCGTTTCATAATATTTATATTTTATTTTTCGTCATTAATTTTT